CCCTCTTCCTCCGCCTCGTGCAGCAGGCGGGTATTTGGAAGAGGAGGGAAGCGGAGAGGAGAAGTGAAAAGGGGGAGGGAGGATGAGGAGGGCGAGAGGATATTTTCCACCACGGCTACCATACGCAGGAATGAGAGGAGGAGGAGGAGGAGGAGGCGGAGTCGGAGTCGGAGTACATCCCCGTCCTCCCTTCTCCCCCGTTCTACCTATGGTAGTGGTCGTGGAAAACTGACCCATCATTTCCATTTCTTGGGGGCGCATCATTTACTCCCGCCGCCTTCCGCCAGCCTTCCGGCCGGCTTCCGCCGGCGGAGGCGGCCTCGTTCTACTTCAGCAAGCTTCTGCCGCCCTTCCGCCGCCTTCCGCCGAGGATAAGATGGCAGCTCCTTCGATCCTCGAAAGCAAAACCCATTTTGGAACGCCTCATATGTACAAATATGTCTACACGCACATTTCAGCACGTACCACAGCCCCCCGTGAGGGGGTCCGAGTAGATTCGGTCAAAGAATAGCGCCGCATCGCCCACGCATCAACGATGCATGGGCGATGCATCGGCGACGTCGGCGATGCATCGGCGCAACCGGCGTGGAGATCATCGGGCCTCACATCAAGCCGCATCGCACAAGAAATCGGCAATGCGGCGCGATCCTCCAAAACCACCTGCTCCGACCCCATCTGGGAGGCCCTGATGCACACACCAACCAGCCATGCTCATACAATGTGTGGCCGGTCCTGGAATTCTGCAAACCCTGAGCCCAAAAGTGCTGCCCTCTCTTAGGGGGGGCAAGTTCTCTACGTCCGCCCTCTTCTGGCGGCAGAGCCGCCCTCGCTCTCCTGCCGCCGCCTCCCGCCGTCCTTCCGCCGCCCTGCCGCCGGGGAGAGGGTGCCAGCTCCTTCGGCCCTCGAAGGCGAGGCCACCGCTGGAATGCCCTCACGTGCGCACCAGACATGCTCACACAGTATGTGCACCACGTCTTCTGAACAGACGGCGGGGCGGGGCGCGCAGAGCACGTGAGCAGGAACCGACCGTCCCGGCATTCCTATAGGCCTGTACGCGCGAAATGCTCGCAGAGCCCAAGAGTGCTCTGAGAACGAAGGCAAGACTCTTAGAACAGAAGCCCGACGTGTTAAAGCACGAACGTCTTGGCCGTCCTAAGAGCATGCCGCAAAGACCGCAAAAGGGTCTCAGAACACTCTCTGGTGGGCCGAAGAAGGCGAGCCAGGACGCTTCGCCACTGCTCCCAGACCCCCGACGTCATGATTTTTTCATGACGTCGACCCCCAGAAGTCTGGAACCCTTCCCCGGGACCGGCTTTTCATGCTGAGACGTTTCCTGACGGCCCCGAGGCCCAGGAAGGGCCCCAAAGGCCGAAACTGGTGAAACACCTCCTGCTGTGATTTACTCGTTGCTCGAGGGGGTCTGGGTCTGGTGGGCCGAAGATGGGACGCACACAGACGTACTAATACTATATGTCATCCTTGGAGGCGCGCGTCCGACCCGAACATATAGTATACCCATCTTGTAGTGTATCGTTTCCCGAGCGGCGTGGCCAGAGAGCGCCCGCCACGACGCATATACTGTAAGATTTCTCGGTGCGCGCGTCGCCCCTGGGGGAGCGTAGTATCTTAGCTGCCCCGATACGCAACACGCAACACGTAGCGTTTTGTTACGGAGCTCAACACGTAGGCTGAAAACGTAGGTCCGACGCGATACATCCGCCAAAATGTGGCCCAATACGTGGAGCCAACACGCAACGTATTGACACGGACGTCTTGAACACGGGACGTGTTGCGTATCAAAACGGGCGTATCGAGGCAGCTAAGTACAGTATCAGTATGTTGGGGTGACGCCGAGAAGCAGGCGAGCCAGGACCAGGACGCCTCGCCGCTGCTTGAAGCACGGCGAGGGAGGCCCGGTAAGGGCCCCCAAATTACCAGCCTCGAACATATCCCTATCCCTATGCTGGGCATCGCCTCATCACGATGCCGATCTTAGGGATTCCCTTCGTTTCTGAGGGCGCATCCCTAAGATTGTCATCCCCTTTTCGCGTGTCAACCTTAGGGATAGGCATAAGTTCGAGGCTGGTGACCAAAGGCCGAAACGGGTGCAAAACCCCCCGCCGTGATTTTTGTCCTTGCCCGAGAAGGGTCTGGGCCTGCTGGGCCGAGGAAAAGGCGATCCAGGACGCCTCGCCGCTGCAACTTGAAGCGCGGCGAGGGCGGCGCGCGCGCGCGAGGGCGGCGCGCGCCGGCCTCCGCCGTGGGCCTCGGCGGCTCGCCGCCCTGCACCTGCCGGCGCCGCCGGGGAGAGGTCGGGCGTGTCCCCCCGACTCGGCGGCCAGCGACGGGGGGGACAATGGGAAGGAGAAGGCCTTCTCTGACCACGAAAAAACACGTCCCCAATCCCAAAATCGCGGATTCACCGAGGATTCGAAGATCGGCCAAAGATTTCGGGGTATGTTTTGCGTTCGTCGTCGTCGCCCTGGTAAAACCCTACCCCAAAATCTCCCTCCCCGAAGTCTCGAGGAGCCTGCATTTTGTCTTGGCCCTCGCGTTTTTGGGATTGGGCATCTGTTTTGACTTACTGATTCTCCGAAGGCGGCGGGACTCCTCAGAAGTCCTCGCGCCTTCCGACAGGTTTTCTGCGTCTCCGGGGAAGGCTTAGAGAACTTCTCGGAAGGCCTGGGGACTTCCGAGCCTTCTGAGAAGGCCCGCCCCTTCTCACCTCCCCACTTCGCTCGCCGCCGACCTACAGGCGGAGTTTGGACGGAATGAAAAAAGTCAGAACATGCTCCAACATGGTCGAGAGTAGTCGAACAATCGTCCCCAGGTTATTTTTCTACTGTTTTTGAAGCACCACTCCTCCTGTAGAGGTGCGTGCCCGACGTACCGCTGGGGGCGTCCGGGAGGGGGGGCGCCAAGGATGGGGGGGGGGGGGCAGCATGCCCAGACCCCCCTCGAGCAGTGAAGAAATCACGAAGAAAGGGTTTTCGCAACGCTCGGCCTCTGGGGGCCCTCACCGGGCCTCAGGACCGTCAAGAAACGACTCAGGATGAAGAGCCGCTCCCGGGGAATGGGTCGAGACCTCTGGGGGTCGACGTCACGACAAAATCATGACGTCGGGGGTCTGGGTGGCGCACAGAGACATACTAGTATTACATGTCCTCCTCGGAGGCGCACGTCCGGCCCGAACATATATTATACCTGCAGTGCATCGTTTCCCGAGCGGTATGGCCAGAAAGAGCCCGCCACGGCACGGCGCATATACTAAAAGAGTCCTCGGTGCGCGCGTCGCCCCTGGCGGGGCGACGCACATGCAGAATTAGTATGTTGGGTTGACGCCGACAACAGGTAATGGCTTGATGCATGTGCTCGTTTCTTACTTGTCAGCGATAACCCGGCTTACCCGGTAGGGGGGAGGTGAAGGGCCGGCGGGAAACCTGGCCTTTTCGCACCTGGCGGCCCACGTTTGCACCAATACTGCGCACCTCCTTCGGGCCTGCGCAATTGACAAGATCAAATTATCTGAAAAGGGCGGGCCCGATAATCCGCTTTGTCGCCGGACCCGGAAAAAGACAGTCTCCATGTGCACGGCCGAAGGAGAGACATGAAATCCAGGGGGGATTCCATGGCCTTGGCCATGATATCCGAGCCCCCCAATCATCACCCCCTTCTTGGCCGACCCCGAGGGGAGGAGGGGGAGGCCCAGGGCTACCGGGCCCTCCGTCGTGGGGGGGGCGGCCCTGAGATCCTGGCGTTGCAAGTGTTTCAACGCGGGTGGTTTCGCGTAATCTTTGGCCCCGGGCTACTCACAGATAGATCTGGCTCCAAAAATGGCGCAGAGAGATGTGGTCCAGGGCTCTCGTCGTGATTTTTGTCCGACATTGATTTTTGTTCCGCGTCGTCGGGGAGGGCGAGTTTGGCAGCGTTTTGGCAACGCCTGGGGGGGGGCGCGCTGCACCCAGCGACGCGTGCACACTCCTGGGAAGGCACCAAAGCCCATGGGCGGGAGGATAGGGAGGAGGAGGAGGAGGACGAGGAGGAGGAGGAGGAGGCGGAAGCGGAGGAGGAGGAGAACCAGTGCAAACCCAAGACCCAGCAACGATGTTGCAATAAACCCTCCCTCCAAATGCCCTCTTCATAGCCTCCTAGAAGAATATACCCCCACTGCACTGGGAAGACAAGTCGAAAGTCAAGTACGCCTTGCACCAGACGGTGCGTGAGCATGGGTGAAACGCATAATACAGAATCACCAAAATGCAGCCAGAATGCCTTCAGCTTCCAGCACAAGCTTTCACGCTCTAAGTCGAGCTGCACCACCGTCTTGATGGAAGTAGGCAGCTAGTCGTTCGCGGGAACCGGCGACCTTGAGACAGTTATTCCAAACTACGTGGCCCCATGTCTGCCTCGGTCTGCCCCTCTTTCTCGGGCCGGCGAGCCCCCGCAACTCCAGGGTGCCCGGTTCAAACACCGAGCGCCGCACAGGGTCTTGGCCGGGTCGGCGCGCTAATTGGCCCGTGAATATCATCTGCCGTCTCGCGAAGTCGTCGCTGAGCTTCGTCTGGCCAGCGATCCCAAGCACGGTGGCGTTCGACACTCTACTGATGTATGACGTCTGAAAATCTTAACCCCGTGCCAAAGCACCATTCCCGGGACTTTAACCCCTCGAATCAACGTGGCGACTTGACGATCCTAAATCGTGCCAGAACACATTTTCTGGCACTCGGGCCCTGACAATCCGAAATCATGCCAGAAACACAATTTCTGGGACGTCAGCCATTAGACTCCTTGAAACTGCTGTAAACTGGTAAGACGAATGTTCGCGGCACTAAAGCGAGAACCACATTTTGAAAAGGAACGCACTTCATCCGGGAAACTGCTGCAGCCTTTAAAAACGAATGTGCACGGCGCTAAAGAGAGAGTCACATGTTGACAAGCACCTTTCCTCCATCCGTGAAACTGTTGTATATATATATATATATCTAAAAAAAAAAAAAAAAAAAAAAAAAAAAAAAAAAACAAAAAAAAACAAAAAACGAATGTGCGCGGTGCTGAAGCCACCCATCCGTGAAACTGCTGCTAACTTTAAACAATGTGCACGGCGCCAAAGCGAGAGCCACATTTGAAAGCCACCTTCTCTCCATCCGTGAAAACTGCTGCAAACTTCCCCCCCCCCAAAAAAAAAAAACGCGGCGCTGGAGCGAGAACCACAGGTTGAAAACGACCCGCCCTCAATCCGTGAAGCTGTTGCAAATGTCACACTTCAGGATCAGAAGTGGTGAACAATCTCAGGCGAGCCGTCTGGCCCGCCCTACCGACCCGTCTCGGAGTGCGACACGGAGTTCTTCATTGAAGAGGCACTGGGACATATGTTCCCATATTTTCTGGGGAATCGACGATCAATTGTGTCTGTGTCTGTTCCCTCCTGACTCATGAGGAAAACGGATGGCGGAGAAGAGGAGGAGGAGGAGGAGGAGAGCGAGCAGCAGGAAGGCGCCCGAACACACGAACTCCCTCTGGCGTGGGACCTAAAAAAGAAAACGCCAGGGTTGTGTTGCTCCCATCGCACTTCAGGACCAAATCCCAGAAAGAAATTCGAGCACCCAGAGAAGTATCGAAACAGCGTCGAACGAGGATCGCCCCCCAGAGCCTGACACGTGAAAGCCCTCCGGTTTCGGTACTTCCCTGGTGCTCGGAATTCTTTCTGATGACCCAGGCTAAAGTAGGCTAGAACCTCATAACGCTAGGGGCGGCGGAAAAGGCGAAGCCTGGGAGTAAGGTGGAGCACCTCAGGGAAACCTACCCCCTGCAAGGCCCCCGGCGAGCAGCACGCGTCACACCAGGCCGGCGTGGGGGCTGGGCACTTCGCCCCTGGCTGCCCCCCCCCCCCGCTGGCGGGCTTCGAGCCCACGACTTCTCCCGTCGAGTGCACGGGTTTTCTGGGAGCCCGAGGCACTGGTGGCGCAACTCGCCAGGAGTCCTGACCGAGCGAAGCGAGCTGAAATGACCAGCGCGCTTGCGACGCCCCCCAAAAACAGCATGCCCGAACGTCAGGTCGGGCATGTCCTCCTACCGGCGGAGCTTGGAGGACACATCAAAAATGGTCGAACATGCCCCAAACAGAAGCCAAGATAACCGACAAATCGTCCCCAGACGATCCTCGTTGCCATTCTCGAGCATCCCTCCTGCAGAGGCACGTGCCGGGCCGAACCCTGACGCAGCAGACTCGGCGAAGGCACCGGGGACGGGCGGAGCCGCCACACGTGCGGGCAATGTCTTGATCCACATCCAGTGCGTCTTGGAGTTTCGGACTCCCTTCCCAAGACACATGAGGCGCACTGGATGTGGACTAGAACCTGCCTCCGAGAGGCCCAATGTTTACCCATATCCAGTGCGCCTCGGCCTTGCGGCGCCCCTTCCAAAAGAAAGTCCACGACGCACTCAATATGGTCAGGGGGGCGTAAGACCCGGGTACAGGGGACTCGGAAATCCCCGACGAGGTCAAAAAAATGACGAGGCCGAGCCTGCATTTTGACGAGGCCTCCCGCTGCAGACATCCCACGAAACTCCTACTCGTCAAAATCCGAGTCGCGGTCGTCAAAAAACGATGGCGAACCCGAGTCCTGGCAAACCCGGGTCTTACGCTCCCCCGATGTGGATACAACTATTGCCCGCCACACGCGCGGGGCGCGGACGCTCCCGCCGGCTCCTGCGGCCAGGTCTATAGATGGGGGCCCGCGCCTCGTGTGGCTGCGAGCGCCGCTCGCCCAGGGCCCCCACCACGGGGGCGAGGGCCCGGGGAGCGGTCGGCGGCCTCGGAGGCCGCCGAAACTCTACGCTGCTCCCCTCGTACTGGAGGGGCCACGTCCTCGGAATCGTCTCGAGCACCTGGGCAAGTATCGAAAAACAGCGTCGAAGGAGCATCGCCTCCCAGGGCCCGACACGCGAGAACCCTCCAGTTTCGGTACTTTCGTGGTGCTCGAAATTCTTTCTGGCGATCGAGGCTGCAGTAGGCTGGAACAGTAAAAGCCGAAACGAGTTTCTCGAAGTCTGGCGGCGGGCGGGCGCCCGCGGGGAAAATCTCGCCCTGTGAGCGGATGCCCTTTCGAGAAACTGCCCTGGGACCACCCTGAGGGTGGTCCGCGGGGTAGTGTCTCGAAACTCGGCAGGGCGTGGGACGTCGCCACCTCCTGCGCTGGAGGCCCGCCAGACCCTATGGCACGGCGCGGTCAGGATGATGCGGTGCACGAGGACTCCGCCACTGCAGCGATGAGCATGCCAGCATCGAGGTCGGCGAGCCTAACTCGGGCCTCACATGAGCCCTCGGAGAAGTCGCTGGCGATCCTGGAGACCGCAGCACTCGGCGAGCAGACGCAAGCCGTAACCGAACGAATCGTAGCCAATGAACTTACCGACCTGGCCACTCGATTACAGCGACACCGGTACTCTGCCAGACTGGCACAGTAACCAATATCATGATCCTGGGCCCGCTCGAACACCACGACCTTCGGAAACTGGGGGGTATCGGGATTATTAGCAGCGATTGGATCCATACCCCACTTGTTGAACTGAACAGCCTGCAACACAGCCCAGGAAAGAAAGTGGAGATTTTTCTTGTGCTCGCGGGGGCTGTCCAGCACCCGCATTCTCTGACAGCGTCCGTGCCACCATTTTCAGCCTCCGGGGGCTCTTCCCGGGCCTCTGGGACCGTCGAAAAACGACGCAGGATGAAAAGCCGGTCCCCGGGAAGGGGTCCGGTGTGAAGAAATCACGACGTCGGGGGGGTATGGGTCCGAAGACCTCCGAGAAGCCTGGAGACCGCCGACCGGTCTGAGAGGGGGTACACTGCAGTGAGAGGGGTCGGGGAACTGCCTCGGGGGGCAAATTCTGACATGGGATTGACGGCGCATCGCCGGCAGGTCGGTGCCAGGCTCCCCCGAGGCAGAGAGAGCCCCACACGCCAGGGCGAGCTGGGCCGCCCAGGCCCCCACTGGCGAGGAGTGGGCGGCTGGGGGCCGATGCAGGAGGAGGAGGAGGAGGAGGAGGAGGAGGAGGAGGAGGAGGAGGAGGAGGAGGAGGAGGAGGAGGAGGAGGAGGAGGAGGAGGAGGAGGGGGAGGAGGAGGAGGAGGAGGAGGGGGAGGAGGCTCCCTCTCCTGGGCCGATCCCCCCCCTGAGACACTGCCCCGGATCTTCGGCTCCCTGGCCTTCGGGGTCGCGGCTCGGGCCTCCAGCGGCCGTTCGAGGACAGTCCCGGCACACCCAGGACGCTCTCGACGAGGCGCAACTGATGGAAACCACCCGGGAACTCTGGACCTTCGGAACCAAGCCTCGAAGGCTTTGGAACAAGTCCCGGGAACTTTCGAGAACTCCTTACATATCCCCCCTCCGAGCAACTCCCCCAGCCCCGCAGCTCGGACCGGGCGGCCGCCTTCGAGTCCTGGTGCTTGAACTTCAGCACCTTGGAGTTCGCCTCGAGGCACTGCATGGCGTCGCCGATATCGCCGGAGCCCAGGGCGCCCAGCGTCCTCCGATGGAGAGGGAGGTAGGGAGGGAGGGAGAGAGGAAAGGAGGGAGGAAGGGAGGGAGGGGGAGGAGGAGTGGGAGGAGGAGTATATATAGCGAGCGATCATGATGATCAAGGACAAGGGAAAAGGGCCAACCTCAATGGCAGCCTATGCCACCGAGGTTGGCGGGGGGACCAGAGGAGGCGGAGGAGGGCGCGCGGGCGGGGGGGAGAGAGGCGGGGCGGCGCCTGATGGCGGCCACGGCCGCGTTGAAGTCGGCCGCGACCGCGGCAGACCCGAACGGCGCCGCGCGCCGAGCACGCGGGGCCGCACTCGCCGCTCTCTCTCTTTCTCCCTCCCCACCTCTCGCGCTAGCCCTCTCCCTCCGCTCCTTCCCCCAAACCAAACTCCCAGGGACCTTGCCCTGGGCGATCCTGGAAAGGTTTTGGGCCCCCGCCTTCTCGAGGCGGCCCGAGCAGACCTTACCCAGGTCCCTCAAGTGCTGGGTCGAATAAGCCCCACAAGTCATACACCACAGCACATTCGCCTCGGGCCAAAACGCCAAGGCATGGGAAGGGTCCACAAGCCGACTACGAACACACACAGCAGCCGTCGGTCGAAACACCGCGCCAGACCATTCCATAGGGGTACACTGCGAATTCAAAAACGATGTCAGGTCACGGGCGGTTGAAGAGCAACCGCACCTCTGGCACTGGGCGAAGTCCCCACAAAGCATGGGGCATTTATGAGAGGACCTCACCGCCGCAGCGCGAAGGAGCTGGCGGGCCGTTCTCCGAACCTTCTCCTTAGGGGGTCGGGGAGGGCGTCCGCCCTCACGCTCCAAAACATCTGACATCACAGCAAGCAAATGATTCTGCACCTTCCGAGCTAACCCATCAGCGAACCTGACGGGAGCCGAGACAGCATATGGGACCTGAACCTGCTGGGCGAAGTGGCTCGCAACCTCATCGGCCACCGCATTCGCCAGCACGACGCCAGGGTTTAATCCACGGCGCACGGCCTCCTCAACCTTGAGGTGACTCGGAATCTGAATGAGAACCACATCCCCAAGACGATCCAGAGCGCTCAGGACACGCCTCCAGAGATCAACATGGGTCTGAATTCGCTGCAAAAGGCCAGCCTGGATGCGAGCAAATCCCCTCGCAACGTAGGCCGAGTCCGCGACGTATCCAAGACACGCCTGGGGGTGAACTCCTTCCAAAAACGCCAAAAGGGCCCAGAGCTCACCACGATTCACAGACTGCTTACCAGAGATCCCGCCCCCTTGGAGAAACTGAATGTCGGCTTCCGACACCTGTGGGGGCAGGGTTAAAACATCATGGCCAAAAACCGCGACGCCCCATGACACCCGCCTGAGACGCTTATCCTTCGTGAACTCCCCACCACTCGCATCCCCCGCGCCCCAGATGCGAGTTCCCCCCCGAGGCCCAGGAAACACACCAGCGGCACAGAGGATGGGGTCGTCGGGAGGCGGAGGGACGGACGTCCACTCACGGGGCACGAGACCGCGAAGCCAGAAACATGGGAGTTCGGCAGCCACAGAGGCGGCCTTACGCGCGAACCCATCGTCCACTTTCTGAAATTCACTGTTGCACGGGCATTCCCAGAACCGATGGACGTCCGTTTCGGGGGCCGAGTTGCAACGGGGACAGGTGAGCTCACACTCTCCCCCAGAGGCCTGAATACGGCCCCTCGTCCAAACGGCCCCAGTAAGGACAGCCCTAAGCAAGCCAGCCTTCTGAGGCGACTTCCTACGCAAGGACGCAAGGTGCCGCCAAGCAATCGTGAGGTCGGGAGTGGGAGGAGGAGGAGGAGGAGGAGGAGGAGGAGGAGGAGGAGAAGGAGGAGGAGGAGGAGGAGGAGGAGAAGGAGAAGATGGAGGACTAGGAGAAGAGGGAGTAGATAGGAGGGAGGAGGGAGGAGGGAGGGAGGAGGGGGAGAAGGAGGAGGGAAGGAGGAGGAGCTCCTGTCGCCTTGTCTGGCTCCCCCAGGCCTCCCGGAGCCACGCCGTCACCAGACCCCCGACGTCATGATTTGTCTGCTCCCCGGGACCAGTTGTTCAGCACCCTGCATAGTTTTTGGGACGGTCCCGAGGCCCCGTGAGGGCCCCCAGGGGAGGAAAAATAACGGAAAACCTTCCGTCGTGCTTTGTTCATGACCCGACTGAGGGGCAACGATAGGGGGGGGACTGGCCTATAGGGGGGGGAACACCGACCTGGAAACGGCGATGCATCGCCGATCGATCGGCGATAGGCCCCTGATGGTGAACCCGCACGTTCCTGGGCAGATTGGGGCTATTTGGCCCCTATCGGCGATCAGTGGGCGAGTGGGGGTCGATACATCCCCCCCCCATGCCATCCCCCCCTACAGTGGAGGCCAGCCCACAAGAAACCTTGCACAAGAAACCCAACCCTGAGACCCCAGGACGTCCATTGATGTTTGGTGTGGGAACGTCACACCTGCCATCACAAAACCATCGACACCCAAGAAGCCCAGGGCACCCTGGAGGCACGCAGGGTGTTTCTTGGCATGGGTCTCCACTGTATCGTTGCCCCTGATCGAAGGGGTCTGGATCGCCACGGCTGGATCCGCCTCGAGATCCCTGTCGGGGGCGCGCCTTTCGGCACGGGGTCCAACGGGGCCCGCTCTGGAAATCCTCCGTCGTGCTGTGTTCACGACTTGTAGGGGTTTGGATCCCCTCGGCTGGATCCGCCTCGAGGTCCTGGTCGGGGCGCGCTGCTAGAGGAAGAGAAAGCGGCATCAACATAAACTGTTGGCGGCCCGCGCGGACTTCTTGGATCTGCGCTGGACCCCCCTCCCTGGCGCGCGGAGCGCGCTAATTAGGGGCGGCGCCGCAGGCGCCGCCGAGGGGGGGGGGCAGCGCGAGCGTTCATGTTTATGTTGTGTTTTTCTTTTTCAAGCCTCGACTTTTCGAAGCGCGGGCCCTCGATCCCGAGACGTTTTTCGACGGCCCCGAGGCCCCGGAAGGGCCCCGAGTGGCCGAAGACGGTGACAAGCCTCCGTCCCGATGTCTTCGAGACGCTGGATGTCTGGGCGAGGGGGGACGTGGAAGGAAGTTTCGGTGGCAGCTCATGGGAGCGAATCGACGCTACTCGACGCTAGTCGACGCTAAATCCACGCTAGATCGACGCTAACCGGCGCTCATCGACGCTCATCGGCGCTAGATCGGCGCTATCTCGTTGACTCCCAGACGTCAATGGGCGCTAAAAAGATGGAGTTCAGAGGGTGTCCTAGGCTCCCACGAGTTGCTACCGGAAAAGCTGGCCACCGCGCTCTGCCTCGGGAGCGCAGGACGCCTGGAGCGAGCAGCCTCCGGGCACCCTCGGCCTGGACCTGCCCCTCGCGCCGAAGGCGCGCCCGCGGGCCTCGCGGGCCGCGGGTAGACCTGGCTCCCATGATGTGCTACCGAGGGAGGTGACTCGTTCCTGCAGCCGTCCTGCCCACGCCCGCGCAACAGCGGCGCTCTCCCGCCGCTTTCCTGCCACCCTTTTGGTTGACCCAGGAGGGGGTCCAGCTGAAAGGGGGTGGTGCAATAGATTTGGGGCAACCGGGTTGCAAATGCATTGCGTCGGAGAATTGCAAATTACATTGCAACTAGCGAGTGCACGCGACAGTCCAGCAATACATCTGCGCCCCAGAAGGTTCTGCGCGCGTCACAAATCTACTGCAACCCACAAACCTATTAAAACAGATCTATTGCACCACCCCCTTGTATTAGGTCGGCCATGTCCTCCTACAGGCGGATTCTGGACGGCAACTAAAAATACCCCAGCAATACTCAAAAATAGTTACAAATAGTCAACAAATCGTCCCCTGACTATTTTTTGTTATTAATATTTGAACGTTCCTCCAGTAGAGGCACACGTCCGACTGAATCCTTGTAGCTGGACCCCCTCTGGGTCCACCAGAGCCGTCCTGCGCGCCGCTGGCGGGCCCGTTTTGCCAGGGGGGGCCCGCCTCGGGAAGGCCTGCGTCCCGGGGGCGGGGGGCGCGGGCCCCCAGAGGCCCCGCCGCGGAAGGGCCTCGGCGTCGGAGGTCTACAGGGACGAGCAGGGCTCGCAGGGCGCAGAGGGGCAGAAGGGCGTCGGGGGTCGGGGGGCGCCCTCGGAGAAGGCCCGCCCCTCGCAATTCCCCCTCCTCGGGCATCGCCGCCGAGCGGAGGAGGGCAGGAGAGCCACCTCTCCAATGTTAGGTCGGGCACGTCCTCCTACAGGCGGATTCTGAGAGAAACCTCAAAGCATGTCAGAACAACAAGAACTCATGAACAGTCAAGCATAGTCCATCGTCACCAGACTTGTTTGTTAATTTTGTTAATGATTCCTCCTGTAGCGGTGGGGGAGGGCCGCGGGACGAAGCAGAGTGAGGAGAGTGTCTCGGGAGGCGGAGCGGCAGCAGCAGCAGCAGCAGTAGCAGCAGCAGGACAAAGGGGAGGAAGGCGGAGGCGGAGGAGGAGGAAGAGAAGAGAGGGTAGGGCCCAGACCCCCTCGAGTAATGAAAAAACGACGGAAAAGCTCCGCCATTTTCGGCCCCTGGGGGGCCCTTAATTACCGGGCCTCGGGACTGACAAAAAACGACTCAGGATGAAAAACTAGTCCCGGGGAATAGGTCGAAACCTCTGGGGGTCGACGTCATGAGAAGATCATGACGTCGGGGGTCTGGGGAGGAGGACCGTGGAAGTGAGGCAGCAGCAGCCGCAGCAGCGGCGGGATTAGCAGCAGGAGGAGGTGCGGCACGAGGAGGAGGAGGAGGAGGAAGGGAAGGACGGGCAGGAGGAGGAAGCAGAAGCGGAAGGGAAGCTGAACGGGGGGGAGGACGGCTTATGAGCACGAGGCGGAGGAAGGGGGGGGGGAAGCGGGGGACGAGCCACACCGAGGGCGCTCGCGCCGGATCTGCCAGCCCACCCCTCCCACTCAGCCCGTCCCACCCCGCTGAAAAAGCGCCAGGCCGCGGGGCCGAAACGCGCCCAACGCGGCAGCTTCCGCACCCCCCTTCCTCTCACATTCGCCCCTCCTTCGTCCGGCGGGAGCCCCGTCGTTAAGGGCTCCCAACTTCGCGCTTCGCGCTGCGCGAAGCGCGAAGCGCGAATAACTTCGCGCTCTCGCGCCGCCCTCCCAAAGGGAGAATAGGAGGACGAGGAGGAGGGGGAGAAGGAACGAGGACCGCGAAGCGCGAAGCGCGAATAACTTCGCGCCCTCGAGGGAGCCCTTGGTCGTCGCCCCCCCTCCTCCCCCCTGGCATGGGGAGACGACGGCGCCGCCCCCTCGACGCCTCACCCCGAGCCCCGTCGCCGCACGGGCGGCCCCGCAGCCCTCGCGCCACGCCAGAGGGAACGGTGCCCCCCACGGAGCGCAGGGCTCCCCCTCCGTCGACGGCGCGCCTCCCCTCGGCCACGAAGAGGCTCCCTGGCCTGGCTCTCAGGACCGGCCCTGCCAGCGCAGCCCCTCCCGAAGCCAAAGCGGTCTTTCTCGGAGCGCCCCGAATGGGGTCGGGGATCTACTGCCCCGGGCCAATCCAGGCCCGGATCCTGCAGGACCCTGCACCCAAGCCCGGGTCCGTGCACCCCTGGCCCTGCAAGATCCTGCAAGATCCGGCGCTCCGACTGACCCCCGTTTGCATTGACCCCCGTCCCTTGAGCCCCGATGTAGGGCGCCGCCGCCGCCGCCGGCATCGGCGTCTGAGCGCTGCCGTCGGCGTCATCAGCGGCGGCGGCATCGCCGGCGGCGTCGGCGGCGACGCTGTGGCGTCGGCGGCGTCGGCGCTGGCAGCGCCCCTGGCGTCGTCTCTGCCAGCCCACTCGGTGGCCCCTCGTCTGCGAGGCGGAGATACGCACTTCCACAGCCTGGAGGAACCGATGTCCCAGGTCCCCAGGGGGCGCTGGTCTTACACCGTCCCTGGGTGCATGGCTGAAGTGGGGCTCCAAGGAGCGGATTCCGCCTGTTGTCGTCGTCCTCGCCCGCGACCCGTCTGCGACCCACCCCGCGGCCCACCCCACCCGCGACCCACGCACATTGCTTTGACAAAACTTCGGCGCCTGCGGTGGGCTCGTTCTGCAATGCGAAGAGAAAAACAACACGCACACACACAACAGCAACAGCGACAGCAACAGCAACAGCAACAGCAACAGCAACAGCAACTTCAACAACACCAACAACAACACCAACAACACCACCACCAACAACAACAACAACAACAACAACAACAACAACAACAACAACAACAACAACAACAACAACAGCAATCACAACAACAACAACAACAACAACCACAACAACAACCACAACAACAATCACAACAACAACAACAACCACAACAACAACAACAACAACAGCAACAACAACAACAACAACAACAACCACAACCACAACCACAACCACAACCACAACCACAACAACAACCACAACCACAACAACAATCACAACAACAACAACAACAACAACAACAACAACCACAACAACCATAACAGTCATAACAACCACAACAACAACAACAACAACAACAACCACAACAACAATCACAACAACAACAACAACAACAACAACAACAACAACAACAACAACAACAACAACAAGGCGCCTGCGGCGGGCTTCGTCGGAGCCTCGCAGACTGCCGACGACCCCGCCGCCCCCTCAGTCTTATCCGCAACTGCGGGCGCTATGGCACATGGGCCCCAGCGGCGCCCAACTGTGTCCGCAGACACCGCCTGCCGAGGTCCGGGAAGATCGACGCCCCCGGATGAATGCCTCCCAGCCTCGGCTCCCCGCCGCCGCCCCCAGGGGGGCGGAGAGGGGGCGGGGGTCCTGAAGACGGGCAGGGCCAGCGCCTCCCCGAGGCCCCGCAGGCAGGCGGTCACGTCCAGCTCCCCGCTCACCTCGTGGCGCATCAGGGCCACCCAGGGCAGGTGCAGCGCCTGGGGCGGCCGCCCGCGCCCGGGGGAGGCCCTGCCCTCGGGCCGAAGGAGCGTCCGCTTGGCCGCCACACCGACCCTGGCCGAGATCGATCCTGCCGGTCGCACCGCGCCCGCGGCGCCGCCTCTGCGCGCACGGGCCCACGGGGGCCGAGGCCCGCCGCCGCGAAGGCAGTGCAGCGCCGTGGAAGCTCACGGGAAGGAGGCCCCTGCAAACCCCACACTGCGCTGCGGCAGACCTCCGCGAGGGCCCTTGTCGGGCCGGGCGAAAAGGGGGGATAGCAAAAGGGGGGGGGGTGAGAATCAGCTCACGTAATTAGCTGATTTTCCGGGCGCCTCCCGGCGCTGGAGGCGGCCATGTATCGAGGAATGAAACCAGCTGCATGCAGCAGATTTCGTAACCCCCCCTTTCCCAATCCCCCCCCTTCGTTCGGCCCGACCTTGGCACCCGCGGCGGCAGCGCCCGGCGTGAACCACCAGAAGCCTGCGGCGCCGCTCGGGCCGGGCAGGCCTGCGAGGGCTCCGGCAGCGCCCGATAGCCCGGGCGAGCAACACCAACAGCGTGCAAAAAAAACAGGCTGCGGCGCGGGCCGTCGTCAACGTCGTCGTCGCCGCCATGGTCGGACGTCCTCGACGTCCTCGTCGCAGTCGGCGTCGTCGCCCCCATCGGGCACGCCCCCCGGCTGGGGCCGCGGAGGCCGCGGTGCCCCCCAAGGGCTGAGCGCCGCGCCCTCGGGAGCGCCAGGAAGGCGAGGTCCCCGGCCGCGAGCACCTCGGCGGGCCGCTCTCTCTGTGGCAGAGGGGGGGGGCACAGCGGCGACCACAACGGCCACGGCCACGGCCAAGGCCACGGCCACGACCACGATCACGACAAGAGCAACGGCCACGACGACGACGACGACGACCACGACGACGGCCACAACCACGGCGACCACCACGGCCACGACCACTACCACGGCCACGAGGACGACGACGACGACGACGACGACGACGACGACGACGACGACGACGACGACGACGACGACGACGGCCACAACCACGGCGACCACCATGGCCACGACCACGGCCACGACCACGACCACGACGACGACAACGACGACGGCCAAGGCCACGACGGCGGCTTGGCTCAACAGCTCTTTCGCAGCGGTGTCCAGATCGCACCTGCCTCGATGCCTTAGCGAATGCGGCAGCCCCTGCGACGACGACAACGACGACCACCACCACGACGACCACCACGACGACAACCACGACCACGATCACGACCACGACCACGACCACAACCCCGACCACGACCACGACCACGACGCTGACAACGACGACGACGACCACGACGACGCCGACGATGCTGACGACGCTGACGAAGACGACGACGACGACGACGACGACGACGACGACGACGACGACGACGACCACCACCACGACCACCACGACCACGGCCACGGCCACGGCTGCGTGATGCTGAGAATCCACGAGCGCGGGCGTGTCGCTCTGGCACTCCGCTCGCGGAGCCGCCGCCGCTCCGCGCCTCCGCCGGCCGAGGGCGAGGGGCGCGGCGACGTGCGCTCGGGCGGCGAGGCCCGGCGGGGCCCGAGCCACTACGCCGAGGTCGGGCATGTCCTCTCCTGCAGGCGGATTTCGGAAGAGAGATCAACAAAAAGCGTCAACAAAATGTTCAAGACAACTCGTCCCCAGACTATGTTCTGGCAAATTTGGCATCGCCCTCCTGTAGAGGGACAGGCCCGACTTCACTCTGCGCTGTTGGGGGTTCCGACTGGACCAAAGATGTTGGGCCAGGCTCGCGGACGTACGATGGAGGGGGCGCCCATCCTGATGGGGGGTGCGTCCGACGAGCCCCCCCCCTGGGTGGTGTACGAGTTCTCCCTCGTCTCTGAGCGGCCTGATCACGGGGGGCGGCAGCTGGCGGATTGGAGCAGAGGCCTCCCAGACGCGGTCCGCGCAGACGGGGTCGGACGATGGCGCCTCATCGCAGGCGCATCGCCGATGCATCCGCGATTGCCTCGGCGAGAGCGCGCCCGTGGAACCCTTCCAGAGGGGAAAGGGGTCCCCCCTCGCCTTACCCCCCCACCCCCCCACGCTTGGACCTCCCCTGCCAGAAGCCCCCCCCCCCCCGCTCCCCCCCCCCTGTTTTGCGCACCTCGGAAGCTACCCCCCCCCCTCCCCCTTTCCGCGCTCCGGAAGCGACCCCCCCCCCCTTCCCCCTTTCCAGGGGGGGGGGGCTTAGCTATCCCCCCCTTGGAAGCCCTCCGCCGCCCCCCCTCCCTCTTTTGTCACCCCTCGGAAGCTACCCCCCCCCCCTCCCCCCTTTTCGCGCTCTGGAAGTTACCCCCCCGCTCCCCCCCTTTCCAAAGGAGGGGGGGCTTAGCTACCCTCCCCTTTTGACCCCCCTTTTTTGGGAAAAGGGGTAAAGGGCGAAAAGGCGCCGAACCGAAGGGCCACCGAAAACCGACAGGGCGCCGAAAACTGGAGGCGTGCCGAAAACCTAAGGAACGCCGAAAACCGAAAGGGCGCCGAAAACCCAAGGTGCGCCGAAAACCACAGGAGCGCCGAAAACCAAAAAAGCGCCGAAAACTAAAGAAGCGCCGAAAACCAAAGGTCAGGTGAACCGTGCCTAGACGGCACATCGGTTGCAGATCGCATGCATGAGCATGTACAACAGCACGCCGGCGGCGACAATGCGAGGGGCAAGGCGTAACCATCGTCGCCAGCTCCGGCTCTATGCGCAGGGATTCTCTAAAAATCTACGCTTCTAAACCGGGGTACAATTCAGAGTAACATATCCCCTAAAACTTGTGATACAAATTATACAGAATGACGGCGAACAGTACCTCAACACTGCTTCTTTCCATGCTCGTTGATTGAAAGTGCTCTGCCCGATCGTTTGTCGGACGGCCTCCTCCTGACTCAAGGCCGCGCCGTGCATGCACGTTGCGCCGAAAACCAAAGCAGCGCCGAAAACCAAAGGAGCGCCGAAGACCCAAAACACCACCGAAAACCGCAAAAGCGCCAGAAAGCAAAGGGGCGCCCAAACCAAAAGTCGCCGAAAACCGAAAGATCAAGATCTCCAGCCGAAGAGGCGCCGACAACAAAAAAGCGGCTCCGAAAACCAGCGGGGCGCATCAAAAACAAAAAAGCGCCAAAGAGGCGCCGAAAACCAAAAAAGAGCGCCGAAAACCAAAGAGGCGCCGAAAACCAACGATGCGCCGAAAACCCAAAGGGCGCCGAAAACGAAAGGGGCGCCGATAACCAAAAGGGTATGGAAAACCAAAGGGCGCCAAAAACCAAAGGCGCACCGAAAACCGAAGTGCGCCGAATACCAAAGGGGCGCCGAAAACCAAAAGGGCGTCGAAAACCGAAAAAATGCCGAATATCAAGAAAGCAAAAAACCAAAGGGGCGCCAGAAAACCACAGGAGCGCCCAAAACCAAAGGAGCGCCGAAAACCACAGGAACGCCGAAAGCCAAAGAAGCGCCGAAAACCAAAGGGGCGCCGAAAACCATAAGTGGCGCCGGAAACCAAAGGAGCGCCGAAAACCACAGGAGCGCCGAAAACCAGAGCCCCGAAAATCGAAGGAACGCCGAAAACCGATGGAGCGCCAAAAACCTCAGGAGCGCCGAAAACCAAAGGAGCGCCGCAAACCAAAGTAGCGCTGAAAACCAAAGGGGCGCCGAAAACCCAAGAAGAGAAGTAATTGCGAAGCCCCCACCTTGAGCCAGGGCCCTCCAGCTGTAATTGCCAACAGAATGAGTGGGGGGGGTCGCTTCGGAAACCACCCCCCCCCTTTGGAAAGGGGAGCTGGGGCTTCTTCTTTTTTCCCCCAGGGGGCAGGACCAGGAGCTGGGGCTTACCCCGGGTCCACAAAAAAGGTAGGAGGGGGGGTCAGCTTCCAAGCCCCCCGGCCTTTCGTCAGGGACCCAGAGCTACAACATCTAAACCACAGGAGAGGGGGGTGCTAGCTTTAGAAGCCCCCCACACCCTTTAGGAAGGGGAGCCCGGGCTGGCCAGGGGCCCCGAAAAGGGGGGAGGGGGGGGGGCGTAGCTTTCAAGCCCCCCCCCTTTAGCCAGGGTCCCCCCCCCAGCAGAAGAGAGCCCACAGAAGGGATGCCAAAGGGAGGGGGAGGGGGGGGAGCATCGGAAGCACACACCCCCCCTTTACCAAGGGAGGGGGGGGGTAGCTTGGAAATGAACATCTTCCTTTTCGGCGTTTCGACGTTGAGCGGAAGGGGGGAGCGGGGGGGTCTGGCTCTGGACCTCTGCTTAGTGCGACTGTTTGGAACAATGCTCCCATCGGGAATTCTATTGGGAGCCGTCCACCTGCTTGAAACAGGCGCCCAAAACATCAAAGATCTACTCCATTGGCAAGGGTGGACGGGGGGGAGGGGTTCGAAGGCCCACGCCGATCGGCAAAACAATGAATAAGAAAGCGATGACAAGCTGTGGTCCCCCTTTTAGTAAGGAGTGCTTCCCAAGGCACGGTCTTTCACACATCGGCGACACATCGGCGACGTCGGCGTTGAGGCCGAGATGGAAGCGAGGAATCTTGCCATCGCTCGGACGTCCACTCCCCGTGCATTGTTTGGCTTCGTGCGTGCTTGTGCTTGTCGAGATGGTCCAAGATATAAGAAAGCGAAAAACTGCATAAACATACACTTTTGGCACTCCGCGCAGATTTCTTGGATCTGCGCTGGACCCCCTCCCGGGCGCGCGGAGCGCGCCAGAGGCGGCGCTGGAGGCGCCGCCGGGGGGGGTCCAGCGCGGATCCAAGAAAGCCGCGCGGAGCCCAAAAGTTTCTGTTTCTGGCGTTTTTTGTTCTTCGAGAGATGGTCCAAGACGCTCCGAGATGGTCAGGGCTTTCTGGCGCTGGCCCCACCGAGAAAGATTCACACGTCCGAGCAGGTGACCTCTGGGCGCGGCCGTGTGAGCTGTTCTCGGCGAGGCTGGCGGGAAACGAATCGGGACCATCTCGGACCATCTCGAGAAACACGAGCACGCACGAAGCCAAACAGTGCACGGGCAGTGGACGCCCGAGCGACGGCTGGAAACCACCTGCGGTGGGACACCCGTGGGGTCGGCCCGAGGCGCGCGCCAGCGCCATCGTGGCCGTGCGCTGCGCCTCGTCGCTCCACAGCAGCAGGTCCGACTGCAGCGAGCAGTGCACGCGGCGGACGTCGGCGAGGACGACCCGGGGCTGCCTCGGAGAGGTGGGCAGGCAGGCAGGCAGGCAGGCAGGCAGGCAGGCAGACAAACAGACGGACGGACAGACGGACGGACGGATGGACGGACAGACGGCGAGAGAGCGAGGGAGAGCGAGGGAGAGCGAGAGAGAGCGAGGGAGCAGAGAGAGAGAGAGACGGGTCCTCGAGGCCCTAAGAAGAGAGAGAGAGAGATAGAGATAGAGATAGAGAGAGAGCAGAAAGAGAGAGATGACGCTTCGGGGGCCCCTGAGGCTCCATAGCTTGCCCAAGAGAAGAGCACAGAGAGAGAGAGAGCAGAGAGAGCAGAGAGAGCAGAGAGAGCAGAGAGAGCAGAGAGAGCAGAGAGGTCGGAGGGCGCCACCCGTGCGCCTACGCCCACCCTGGCCGGGCCCATGCCAGGCCCCACGTCGGCCTGGCCAGGACTGTGCGGCGGGCTCGCGTCGCGACGGCGCCGGCGCTGTCTTCTGGCACCGCGTGGATCATTCGACCAGGTCGCTCCAGATTGACCGATTCCGGGACAGAGGCGGCGTTCGATTGTGAACACCCGCGAAGGGCTCGCCGGAGCGTGGGCGCGGCACGAATCTCCCGTACATCGATCCAGACCACGATTGTAAGCGTATATCGAAGGATAAACTTTTGGAGGTCCGCGCGGATTTCTCGGCTCGGCACTGTACCCCTTCCTGGCGCGTCGAGCGCGCCAGGGGCGGCGCCGAAGGCGCCGCCAGGGGGCTCCAGCGCCGATCCGAGAAATCCGTGCGGACCTCCGAGAGTTCATTCTCATGCCCTGATCTGCTCCCCGAGTATGGCTAGCGCCCTCCGAGGGAGAGAGCGGGCCGTGCCGGCGCGCGGTGGGCCAAAGCCAGCCGCGCGACACGCCGACCCAAAGCTCCCAACCGTACCTGGCAACCTCCCAAGGCGGACCAGAAAACTAACGACACCACCCCGCCTGCGGCCCCACGGGGCTCAGCGCATACCAGGAACTCTGGCGTGGGCTTCTACGTGGCATATGCTACGGCCCCCGAAGAGCCGTAGCACGACATGGAGGGCTGAAGGTGGGGTGGTGTCGTTTGTTTTTAAAGGGGCCCTGGGACACACAAATAAATACACACAAATAAAAAGATTCCCCACTTTTTTCCACATTTTCTGGGTTTTTGTCTTCCCCCCCACTTCCCATATTTCCCCATAGATTGCCCAAGCCAACTCGGCAGGCTGTCATGCGAACGTGGCCGAAACTCCGCCGATCGGCCGCGGCATCGGATCTCAAGGGCGGTGGAGACGGCGGGGACGGCGACAGAGGCGGCGGCGATGGCGGCAGGGGCTGCGGCGGCGGCATCGTCGCCGCCGTCATGGGCCGTTGGGCCGTCGGCCGTGCCGACGAGTCTGCCGGAGGGGGGGGGCCTTGAGGCACCAGGGGTGGAGAGGGGAGGCGGGCGAGCACCGAGGCAGGGGGAGCAGAGGAGTACAGTCGGGCCGCTGAAAGAAGGAAAGGTAAATAAGGAACGCAGCCCCCTCCTTGGCCCCCAGAAGCGCCAGCGTGCACGAGAAGGGCTAGAGGAACCATCATAGAATGACCTCAGGAACATCGAGCTCCGTTCCTGCATGTTTTTCCTTGCTTGAGCGCCTTGACTGTCCTCCTCTGACTCTTCGCCACGAAAGTATATACACTGACATCTTCCGACGAATTTTGCATGTACCTTCTGGGAGGACAGCGGTGCATAAAGTCGCTGGCTTCCACTGGAAGTTTGTACACCGCCGCCTTCCCCTGAGGCCCAGGAGAAATCCATTGGAAGGTGCGATGCGACGCGATGCGACCACCGTTGCGGACAGCGTCCGGGCCTACTCAAAACCGGGTGGGCGAGTCTGGACAACATGCAATGGCGAGACAAATGCGCAAACAAAATTAGGAGGAGGGACGGAGGGAGGATGGTCCTTGGGGTCGGTCGTGTCAGCTTGTGTGGGAAGGAAGGAAGGGGGGAGGAAGAGGAGGAAGTCCTTGGTGTCGGTGTCGACGTGGGATGACTCGCTGGGACTTCGCGTCATTGGCTTCGGTTCTGGGTGTCTGCTGGTGTGGAGTCGACGTAGTGATACTCGAGCGCCGTCCATGTTTCGGTGTCCTCTGCTGTTTGAATACAAGTAATGTCGTTTGGTTATCCTGTCGCGCAGGTACGTGCGATCGGTCGGTGCAGGTCTGGTCTGCGTTGGCGTAGACAAGTGTTGACTTCGTCGTCCCAACGTTTGTGTTGACGACCGTGCTGCCTCTGTCCTCGCTGCCGTGGGTTGAGGTATGGTCGCCATTGCAACACTTGTTGTGTCCAACTTGTTAGGGTGTGGTTTGCGACTCTTGAAGCCATTCGCCATGCTTTTCGTTTGCGAACCGTCTCCCAGTAGTCGATGCGGTGGAGCTTCGTGAGGGGTTCTGCACGTCGTGTCGCTCGATGTATATACTCTACCCAGGGTTCCTCCAGGACCGTTGTAGTGCTGACTTCGCCGTTTTCGCTGTGCACGTCAGGTGTGGCAGGTGTGTCGCGCAGGGGTGGGTTGCTGTCTGCGTCGCCGTCAGTGCTGTTGTTGCAGTGGTAGTTGTTTGGTACGTCGTTGTCTGGTGTTTCGTTGTCTGGTGTTTCGTTGCCTGGTGGTCGCTGGAGGTCACGTTGTATTGTCGCGCGTGTATAAATACGCATACATAACTATGTATATAGATTGTGTATGTGTATACATATATATATATAATATCGAGATATATATATATATATACACACAAATATGTGGCGATTACTCTGGCTCAGCGGAAGGCCAGCGCCAATGCCGACGCACCCTCGACAACGGAAGCACCGAGGGCGCACGCCGCCCACGCGCGGCCCAGGCGCCCCAGACCCTTGAGAGGCGAGTGCGGGGTCCACTTCCTCCTCCTCCTCCAGCTTCCCTCCAGCTCCTCATCCTCTTCCCTTTGCTCTTCCTGCTCCTCGTCCTCCTCCTCCTCCTCCTCGTCCTCCTCCTGCTCATCCTCCTCCTGCTCCTCCTCCTCTCCTGCACCTCCCCCTTTTCACCTCCTCCTCCTCCTCCTGCTCCTCTTCCTCCGCAAACGATCACCGCCGACTGAAGACGACGACGACGACGTCGACGACGGTGGCGATGCCCGAAGACCGAAGACGGTGACGGCGACGACAATGACCGGGCGCTGCGGCCGCGGGGAAAGGGCTAGCGTGTCGCACCGAACTGAGGTGAGCCAGAACGGGCGCACCGACACGCTAAGCCAAACCTCTCGACCGTAAGGGAAGCGGGTCTTGGACCCCAGAAGCTTCTGCCGGGACCAGGACCTTCATCCCGACTCGCTCGGCCCCACGGCCCCAAGGGCCCCGGGGGGAGGCCCTGGAAGCCCAGGAACGGCGAAACACCGCCAGGACCCGTGTTCCCTCAGGACCCCTTTCTCGCCCAGCGTTCACTGGGGAACTCAGTCCCACCGACCCCTCCCGGGGTTAGGCCCGCCCCGTTCTTCGAGGCGGCTCCAGCCGTGGCCGACGAGAAGCCTCCAGGAGGCTCAGACGGGACGAAAGCCGCCAGGGATGGCCGCCACTGTCTCGACGGGCCCTCCTCCGCGAGGAGTCGTCAAACCCTCTCGGAACGTTCCATGAGTGGCACAGAAAAAGGAAACTGAGCGAGCAACGACATATGTACATGTACGCCCTCCGCGATCTTGAATGCACGAACGTCCTCGTTCAAACGCCCTCCAGGGGAAGCTAACCGCGTACGTGTACATATGTTGCTGGCCTTTGAGAAACGGGTCCCGTGAAAAACGAATCCTGGACCCCAGGGCATTCCTCCAGTAATTACCAGGTCTTCATCCTGAGCCTTTCTGTTGACGGTCCCGGGGACCGTGGAGAGCCCCGAGAGCTGGAAGACGGCCAGAAACTTCAGGCCTCGATTCCCTCAGGACCCCTTTCCCTCAGGACCCCTTTTGCTTCATGGCAAAGAACCGTCAAATATGGCTTGACCGATGGCGAGAATGGCACGGCCCGACGTGGCTGCGAACGGAGGAATCGCTGCCACCACCGGAATGCTTCGGACAGGCGCTTAGGGATGCGATTGCCCTTCCCCGCCGAGTGCCGGAAAAGCGGTGCGAGGTAATTAGACCCGCGCGCCCCTCCCGAAAACCACTGCGGCTCCCCAGCTGAGCCCGCCTGCCAGCTTCTGTGCGTGGGCCGGCGTCAAATGTTAGCACTCAAGCACCTCGGGACGTTCCCACATGGCGGCCACCCGCGACCGCGGGCTGACCCCCGCCAGCTGCCGAGGGGCCCGCTGCCGCGCCAGCAGCTGCCGGACGAGGTGGCGCAGATCGCCTTCCCGCGGGGTGGGCGGCGGCCGCCGCAGCTGGCAGCCGTCGCAGCAGGCGGTCGTCGTCGTCGTCGTCGTCGTCGTCGTCGTCGTCGTCGTCGTCGTCGTCGTCGTCGTCGTCGTCGTCGGTGGCGTCGTCGTCGTCGTCGTGGTCGTGGTCGTGGTCGTGGTCGTGGTCGTGGTTGTCGTCGTCGGCGGCGGCGGCGGCGTCGGCGACATCGTCGTTGGCCTTCGGACGCCCTCGGCGACCCTCGGACGCCGTCGGCGGCCCCCTCGGCGGCCCCTCGGCGACCCTCTGGGGGCCGTCTGGGGGCCTGGAGTAATGTCGCCAGTCGACGTGGGCGCCACCGCCGCCATCGCCGTCATCGTCATCGTGTTCCTCCTCGTTCACCTCGTCGCCCCCCTCCTCCTTTTCCTCCGCCTCCTCCTCTTCCTCCTCCTCCTTCTCCTCCTCCTCCTCTTCCTCCTCCTCCTCATCATCATCAGCAGCATCATCACCATCACCATCACCATCACCATCACCATCACCATCACCATCACCATCACCATCACCATCACCATCACCATCACCATCAGCATCAGCATCAGCATCAGCATCAGCATCAGCATCAGCATCAGCATCAGCAGCATCATAATCATCAGCAGCATGGTCATCTTCATCGTCGTCGTCATCGTCATCATCATCGTCATCATCATCATCATCATCATCATCATCAGCATCATCATCATCATCATCATCATCATCATCATCATCATCATCGTCATCATCATCATCATCATCATCATCATCGTCGTCATCAGCATCATCATCATCATCGTCGTCGTCATCATCATCATCACCAACATCATCACCATCATCATCATCATCATCAGCATCATCATCAACATGGTCATCGTCATCATCATCATGATCACCATCATCACCATCATCATCACTATCATCATCATCATCGTCATCATCATCACCATCATCATCACCATCATCATCACCATCATCATCACTATCATCATCATCATCATCATCATCATCATCATCATCATCATCATCATCATCATCATCATCATCATCATCATCATCATCATCACGACCAGCCGCCTTCGCCGCGGCCCCCGAGCCGGCACTACCGCGGCCTCGGCCCGCTCGCCCGCGCCCCCGCCCGCGGCCGCCTCCGCGACCAGCGGCCGCCTTCGCCGCGCCCCCGGCGCCGCCACGCCCGCGGCCTCGGCCTGCTCGCTCGCGCCCCGGCGCAGACTCGGCGGCAGCGGCGAGCGCCCGGGCAGCGTTCCAGGAGGCCCCATGCTCGATCGAGCTGGACGGGATGGACGGCGCCAGGAGATTCAGCGCCCGGCCCAGCTTGCCATGCCAGCAGGCGCGCGCGCGACCCTGACGCGCCGGCGGCGGAGCCCGCGCGCCCAGCGCCCAGCGAGTGTAAGACCCACTCGTGAGGGCGCTGAAGCGGAGACGACGACGCGGTGCCACCGAAGCTCCTCCACTGATCTCTCCAGTCTGCAAAAACAGAAGAGCCGCGGGGCAGTCGCGCCGCGCCATCCGATCCGCCCACCCCCCTACTCCGACGCAGCCTCGCCCCTCGCCAGGGCGGGGCCGACCGCATTTCGGTGGCACGGTCAGAGCTGGAAACGCGCCTCGAGCGAGAGGCGACGGAAAACGAACTGTGCTCTGCGATCTTGCAGAAACACTCGCTGGGAACTGGCTTCTGAACAGTTCTCAACGATCGAACTGCTCTAGCCCCGAGCGCGTCGCGCCCACGCTTAGGGGGGCGCTGGAGTCACAAATGAATTACATTAGTTTGGACTTTTTCGCATTTTGGCAAACTCACAAGCCGAGCCTTCTAGCAATGCCAAGATCACTTACCCGAACGTTGCTGACGCCGACACTTATCAGCGCACTTGTCAAGCCAACTTGCCCAACTCAAATCTGGGCCAGAGCAGCAGGCGCACCGCCGCAGGATGCTACGGATCTTCGAACAAAACTCGTCACAAAGTCTCTGATACCTTCGAGCCGCCCCGACGCATCCTGGGAAATAATGGGGCCGCTAACTCAAGCGACCTGCAACGAGCATTTGGAAAACAAGCGACCCCACTCAAATCCGACGGGAAACTACAGGTGAATAACAATTACAAGTGAATAACAATGACAGGTACCAAGAAAAATTCTACGTGTAATTGTTCACATGTGTCATAACTCTATCTGCAAGAAGGCTCAAATCATCAATGGCTAGCTTTTCAGAAATGCTCATCAAAGTATTGTTGAAAATGCATAAAAAAACTCAGACGCTACGCTGATTGAAAACACAACGCAACTACACTTGAAGATATGAAAGAAGCCGGTGTGATTTCTTTCATAATTATGAGCACGAGTCCGAATTTGATCTGCATGGCGACTCAAAGAACCCATGTTGCAATGCTGGGGCAACTCTGAACTATCAAAGAACAAGTGACCCATATTATAACTACATTTGTATATACATCTACAGACATGTTGCTGAGGGCTTAGGCAGAATCGCCCCCCGATCCAAAAAAACATGCAAACAGGCATACATACAGAATTGCCGAAGCATATAATAACGAATCATAGCGCTACCTACGCGATGAGACAAAGAACTGGACGTTCAATGCTAGAAAAACGTTGACGCATTATATGAAAAGCTAAGAATACGAATCCGCCGACCCCTTGTGGGCCTCTAGGCGTGCGAGATGATCCCCCCCCATAACCCCTCCCCCAGGGACCCCAAACCAGCAATTTGACCCCCCCCCCACGGGCCCGGCCCGAACCCGGACCGAACGCGCCACGGGGGAGCGGAGGGCTCCAAAACAGGCCAAGAAGGCACCAAAACGCTCCCCAGACGGTCCAGAGGGCCACGAGTCGCCGAAATATCGCTCCTTGACGCCCACAATGGCCTCCAGACGGCCTCCGAAGCTGCCAAGACGCCCCAAAAGGCCCCCAAGATGCGTTCCAAGAGGGTCCCAAGAAACAAACATCGTCTCATTCCCTTGGAAAAAAAAAACAACATGTTTCGCACATTCGCCTGTTCGGCTTTCACGACGTCCAAGACGGGCAGAGCAACCTTCAATATCGCCCGCGGACGGCCGAAGGGGCCCCCAAGAGGGATCTAAGAGGGTCCAAAAACAGCCCACGAAGCCCCCAAGACAGCCCAAGAGGGCCCCCAGACGGCTCCAAGAGGGAGTCCAGAGGGCACCTCTTCGAGCCTCGGCCCCAAGACGCCCCCAGCCTGCCCCAAAAACACCCCAAGAGGCCCTGAGGGACCCCCAAAAGAACCTCAAAGGCCACCAAGAAGCCCCCAGGAAGCCCCCAAGAGGCCCCAAAACTTGGCCCAACATGCCTCGAGGCGGCCAGATATGGCCTGCAGACAGGCCACAAAAGAGCACCAATAGGTACGAGAATAACAACGAAGCGACAGGAACGATGTCGAGCGCCGTGACATGATTCGGACAAGCCTCGTGTACTGCAGTCCTGGAGGCGCAGTAGTTTATATATGGGGTCGGCGGATGCGGCGTAAGCATATAGAATATGGCTACTATGTGTTAACAATGTCGCAAATACGCAACAATTGGATATAATCCGAAGTACCTAGGTAATTGGATTCAGAATGGCTGATAACTATACCTGCGTGATAAAACACTTCAGAGGCCATTGAATGCTACTTTACACTGCGAGAAAACACATTGCTCCGACGCTCGGTCTGTATACGAAGAAAATATGACTGGATAGCCCCCACACACACACACACACACACACACACACACACACACACACACACACACACACACACACGCGCCCACCGGCCCGGAAGCCGCCCCTACGCGGGAGGCGCGGCGGAGCCTCGGCTCCGGCCCTCAGATGCACGTTAGCACGGCGTCGATCCACCTCTTTTTCGGTCTGTGTGACCGTCTCGTCAGCCCAAGAGGTTCCCATATGAATGCACGGTGAGCCCAGCTGTCTACCGCCTCTTGCATCTTTCTGTACCATTGTGTTGCTGCAGACTTGTGGCTTTCAATCCAGTCACGAACGCCGAGTCGCCTGCATCTTTCCTCGACCTCGTGAGTGGCCCTCTGACACCACTCTGCCCATGGTTCCAGAACAGGAGCACAATCAGATGCCGTCTCATTCGATGACGCGGATTCTGGTGATGACGTGGAAGTAGGTGGAACACATGCGGCCACTGGCCGGCGACGACTACCGTAGATCATGCGCAGCATCTCCCGCTGCACCCGGCGCAACTTGTCAGTCAGCTCCTGCGCCAGCACCCAAGTTGCACTGCCGTACAAGAACGTTGGACACCGTGGCGTCAAAAAGCTTCAAACGAACATTCAGAGAATACGTATTATTTACCAGTTCTGCACGCTGCGCCATAAAACTCTCCCATGCCATGTTGATCCGGTGATCAACTTCAACGTCGTGTAGTCGATCAAAGCATAACTGCCTTCCCTAAGTACTTCGTTTTCTCCTCGTACGACATGATCTCAATGTTCATGTCTCCGACTTGCACGTGCGATGTTCTTGGGCGCCCGGTGCCTTTGGTTGCGTTCGTCAAGATTTTCGTCCTGTCTGGGTGGAGCATCAATCCACGTTTTGGGGCTGCCTTCTGTACATCATTTAACATGATATTGAGTTGACGTAAGGACGTTCCAATGAGCAAAATGTCACCTGCGAAGCGTAGATTGGTAAGCTGCCGGCACTTGCTGTAACCCATTCTCAATCCCCAAGACTTCTTTTCCCAAGCTGGCTTGACCTCAGCAAAGATATCTTCCAGGACTGCGTTAAATAGCAAGCTGCTGAGCGGGTCGCCTTGCTTGGTGCCGCGCAAGATGTCGAACTCCTTGCTCACGCGGTCGGTGCGTGCTCTTCCCGATTGTCCAGAATACAAACTCTTCAGCAATTGAACGTATCCGTCTGTGACGCCCGTCGTTCCAGAGCCTCCCATATGCATTTGTGCTTGACCGAATCGAATGCTTTCTGGAAGTC